CTGGCCCAAGAATACATTATTCTTAATGAGTATTGGAGATGGTCTGCAATCTTGAATCACTAGGTGCTTGGCTTTTTAAAACTGGGATTGGGATTGGGACAGGAAGGAAGAAGTGAGGAGAGTAGGTTGTGGGTGGGGAGAAGTGTGCTGTAGGTCTTTTTGCCTCCCTCTCTGAAGTAGTTCTCAGTCTTTTCAGGTTTTTACCTTCACTTACTGGGCCTGCCTGGGTTTCCGTAACTTGGATATAGGGTTGAAGTTAAGTTGCTGATTGGGTAGATTTTTTTTTTTTTTTAATAATTTTATTTATTTATTTTTTCCCCCAAAGCCCCAGTAGATAGTTGTATGTCATAGCTGCACATCTTTCTAGTTGCTGTATGTGGGACGCGGCCTCAGCATGGCCGGAGAAGTGGTGCGTCGGTGCGCGCCCGGGATCCGAACCCCAGGCCGCCAGCAGTAGAGCACACGCACTTAACCGCTAAGCCACAGGGCTGGCCCACTGATGGGTAGATTGACCAGGAGTTAAGGTCTAGGGTCCAGCCCTTGTGAGACTGAACACATCACATCGTTATTCAGGCACGGTTCTTCCTACTTCCAGCCTCTTTGTCTCTTAATCGTCCACCATGGATTTGTAACCAGATCTCACTTCCTATACTAGTCTGCAAGAGAGGCTGAACTCTGAGATGTAGGGTCCTATCTGCAAACATTCCTCTCCAGTCTTTCTAGAGTTCAGACTCCCTTTCTTACCTTTGGGCCCTCAGTACTTAGAAAGCCTCTTTCATACTCAGAAGAAAATTTCCAGAAAAATTATCTCATTCATCTTCCCGTGCAGATACAGTCTTCATGGTGCTGGCATGTAAGAACTGAGGAAATAGTGTCAGTGGATCTGGCTAGCAGATTTGACTTTAGGACCTGTAGAAATTATTGGGTCCTCAATCCTATGGTGTTAGCAGTTGGAAGAGCTTTGGAGACCATTGAATCTAAACTCAGTATCCTTGAAGCAGAAACAGAGGAGAAAAGTACGTATCTCATGAGCAGGAGTTTGGGTCTGGAAATAGTGGTCTCTGCTGATGGATAGTGCTCTCTTAGCTCCTTGGATTGTGGCTTCAGCCGTAAATCTTGGGGCTATAGTGCTAGAGAGAAGGACTCTAATAGGAAGAACAATTGAGAGCCACCATTGTGGTGACTGGAGACAGAGGAAAGGAGCTTGGACTGTTGAGTTGAAGATTTGGGATTCCTTGTGCTGTAGTGGGGAACCAAGGTTAGGTGGCTTTAAGTGGAGAACTCCAAGGGAAGTGAGTGGGATGGTTGTGGGAAGAAGAAACCTTTGGAGGGAGCAGGAGCCAAGCTCTCTGCACGCACACCTCAGGGTGGCATTGTTGCACAATTGCACGGATTCCCTGTAGCTGTTCCATGCAGTGTCCTTAGGCTTCACTGCAGTCCCTCTTGGATGGAGACCCCTCTATTTGGTCTATGCTGATGGCTTTTTGTTGTTTTTTCCAGAGTTTGAGGGAAAGCTGGCCCATCCTGTATACGTCTTCCTGCATAAAAGCAAATCCTCATGTGGGGGAAGGTCTCAGCAATCCTGTCTCAGTCTGACAGGTGGTAGAGCCAAATTTTCTCTATAGCAGTGTGTCCAAGTTGAACATGTATGTGGATCACTTGGCAATTTTGTTAGCATGTGGATTCTAATTTAGTATGTAGGTCCCGGTAGGGCACAGTCTCTAGCAGTGTTGATGCTGCTGACTCAACAGCACACTTTTATTTTTTAATTTTTTTTTTAAGTTTTATTTATTTATTTTTTCCCCCAAAGCCCCAGTACATAGTTGCATGTCACAGCTGCACGTCCTTCTAGTTGCTTCATGTGGGACGCCGCCTCAGCGTGGCCGGAGAAGTGGCGCGTCGGTGTCCACCCGGGATCCGAACCTGGGTCGCCAGCAGCGGAGCGCGCACCCAACTGCCAAGCCACGGGGCTAGCCGTCAACAGCACACTTTTAGAGCCATGCTCTCAAGTTTTGCGGAGACTCCTTTTCTGCTAATTCCCTCTATCCTCCCTGTGAGGGGATCTTGACTTTGTACAAAACTTTCTACGTATGCAATGCTAGCTAGGAGCTAAGAAAAAGATCATTCACGGAAGGCTGGGTCCTGCATATGGGTTTTTGTTCCTTTTTTTTTTTTCTTGGTGTGAGGAAGATCGGCCCTGAGCTAATAGCCATGCCAATCTTTTTTTTTTTGCTGAGAAAGACTGGCCCTGGGCTAACATCTGTGCCCATCTTCACTTTATATGGGACGCCTCCACAGCATGGCCTGATGGGCGCGCCGGTGCGCGCCCAGGATCTGGCCCCGGGCTGCCAGCGGCGGAGCCCGCACACTTAACTGCTACACCGCGGGGCCGCCCCCTGGGTTTTTGTTCCAATTAGTACAGGCTTAGCCAACACTGGCCTTTGTTCTGCTGGTTCCTTTTCAGTCTTGTGATGCTGGAAGGTTTGCGCAAAAATTGTTGATTGTTTCAGATGCTATTCTAAACATTTGGGGAGCTAGGAACAAAGATCCTAGTGTGGAGATGCTGGTAACTTGTTCTGGGTCGGTTGCTGTTAGGGGTGAGCTATGTCCTGTATCCCTATTTTATAGATGGGGAAGCTGAAGTACAAACTGGCCCCAAGTCTCATAGCTGGTGAGAGAGGTGGAGCAGGGATTGGAATCTATATCCTTTGGCTGTAGAATTTGTGTCCTGTTAACCACTATACTGTACTGTGTTAAAGACTTCTGGTAGAACTCTGAGCTCTCCCCCCAGCTCCAATAAAAAGGAAAACGGAAGCCCCCAAGAAATTTTTTAACTAAGGGGAGCTTCTTAGAACCATTTCTTTTGCCTCAGGCCTGCAGTGGTTTTTGTAGCTGCTTTTTTTAAGGATGTCTGTTGTGCAAGGAAATGTTAGCTATGGCCCTATCTTATAAGAATCATTAGGTTCCTGTGAAGGTTTTAAAAAATCCCCTTAGACACTCAAGTTACACAGTAACTGCCATTTTTTTGATTACTTTTTACGTGCAAGGCACTTGTACAGAGGTTGAAAAGATGTTTTTTATGGGGTTTAGTCTAATGGAAGAGTCCTATGTGAAAGTAGACCATGACAATGTGGTTCAGTTTACCACAGAGACACTGCACAGCAAGTGCCACTGGAGCCCAGAGGAAGCACGCTAGGACAGGTAGAAGATTTCAAGGTGTCCCAAGTTGAGAGACCAGCATGTGCTGGGGCATGGGGTGTGAGCAAGTAGTGTTGTTGGGATCGTAGGGTATATGAAGAAGAAATTAGGAGAGGTTGGCTGATGGGGTCCTTAAGGGCCAGGCTGGAAGGAGAGTTTAGGTGTAATGTTAGAAGTGAGATAGTCCATTTCCATGATCAGTATTGGTCACTCAGGCCCTTGAAGGTGGTAGGCTAGAGGCAGGGGGAGGTCTGTTGCAGGTAAGACATGTGTAAGCCAGATGGAGGCAGTGAAGTTGAAAAGGAAGGCTGTTGGATATAAGTTGGGATAGCTAGCATCAGCAAGACTGACTAAATCTGGGTTTTATGGAACACACTAGGATTTCTTGTTCTCTGATTAGGCTGCTGTGCTGTTGCCGTGTGTCGAGATAACAGAGATGGTAAAATGAAGACATTCAGTTTTGGAAATGGTAAGGTCCTTGCAGAATGTGTAAGTGAACACATCTTGGATTGAACAAGGCTTGAATTATAAGACTCAAGAAGACTTGGTAGAAGAAGGTTGAGGATGGAATGGGAAGCATCAGCATTTATTTTATGGGATGGCTGGCTAAAGAAAGATGAGCCCACAGGGTACTGAGTGTTAGGGCCGATTCCCTCTTTTGGGGAAGCTCAGCTTTCCTCCTGGAGTCCGGAGTAGCATTAGGAGCAGGCTCATGTGACCGTGTAGCCTTGACAGTAGCCACAGCTTAGCTTCTTGGTAGCCTCCTCCTATAGCAAACCACTTGTTTTCTCCTGTTGCTTTGGTGATCCAGTAGATCAGAATAGGGAAGTGTTACACAGACTGTCAGAATGAGATTGTACATATACCCTTGAAGGAGTGTGTGTGTGGGGGAATAAACACACTGCATTTGCTAATTCTTGTGTCATCTAGGTGAGAGTATTCAAAGTGAAGTCTTCACACAGCTCTGTTCATTGTGGGCTGGTGTATCATTGTGAATGACACAGAGAACCAGTCACCCGTGTACCCTCACCCTTGTACCCTCACACCTGGATCCCCTCCAACCCCCCCCCCCCACCGTATCTGATGATCTAACTGCTAAGGATACTGGGCTTCCTTGGGCCCTGCCTGTTGCTTTGCATATTCCCTTTCCCCCAGGCCAAAATTTGGGTACAAGGTATACTCAGGGTGTAGCCCTAGGATCCTGGTTCCCTAACAGCCTCCTGAAAGGCTCCTTAATGGGGCCGGCCCAGTGGTGCGAGAGGTTAAGTGCGCGCGCTCCACTGCGACGGCCCGGGGTTCGTCCGTTCGGATCCTGGGCGCGCACTGACGCACCCTTGTCAAGCCATGCTGTGGCAGCGTCCCATATAAAGTGGAGGAAGATGGGCATGGATGTTAGCTCAGGGCCAGTCCTCAGCAAAAAAGAGGATTGGTAGATGTTAGCTCAGGGCCGATCTTCCTTACACACACACACAAAAAGGCTCCTTAAGTGCTGTTTCCTGGAGAGAAATACTCATATTTCCTGTTGTAGGCAAAAATTCCATGAAGAGAAGAAACAGCTACTAGGACTCATTTCCTAAATGTTTTTGTGGCTGCATGTTTTCTGAGCAAAGTGTAACTTATAACCCCTTCTTCCAGGAGGTGGGAGGGAGCAGAGGGAGCAATTAAGCCTGCTGGTGTCAGTGCCAGTGCCAGAAGGAATCCTAGAATTATACTTGGCTTGTGCTCTTCTGTCCTACGTTTAGATGGTACTCTGTCTCTCCCTCTGAAAATTGCTCTAACTTTACAATTACTTTTTTTTTTTCCCTAGGGAATAAAAAAGAGAAGCTATGTAGTCTGTTTCTAAATGCCTCTGACAAATCTGGCCCCCTAAAGTTACAGACACTTTGTACATATCTGTACTTTTAACTTGTAGACCTTGGCCACAGGGCTACCTATAGTCTCAAGGGCAGACCCTCTAGGTAGCACTGGAGGACCCACCAAATGGTGAATGAGGGAATATTCCATGGTGACTGAGGCAGAAAGGATGAAGTGTTAGGGGAGCCTGCTGCCCTAGGAACAGGCAGTGAAGTGGAGCTTCACCTGAGCTTCTGTGGCATTTGTATATGTATCCTGCATGTGCTTTCAGGCTGGAAGTAGAGAACACACACACAAGTACAAGCTGTTTTTTCATATATTGTGTATAAACATCAGAATCAGGATGAGTTGGCTGGAACAGCCAGCAGTTATGTGTGGGGCTGCTGCTGGGGAAATTGCCTCAGCTCTGCTCCAGGTCGGCCACCAGGAAGGGCTGGGTTTCTTTCAGGGCCTGAAGGAACAGATCCTTGCAGGTCAGGTTCCAGGCTGGAACAAAGCTGAAGAGCTTCCTCATCTTCCTTGGATTGGTGGTCTCCGCCCGCACTGCCTGGTACTGTTCCTCTGTCAGGACACTCCCATACAGGGCATCTAGTACCCCATCCACGTCTGTTACCCGTGTGATGAGGGCTGCCCGGTGCTGATCCATAAAGTGCGGTGCTAGGGGCAGAAGGGAGGAGAGCAGATGAGCTGGGTGCCCAGAGTGGGTGCTGGGGCCTGTCCTTGCTGAACACTTTGCTTTCTTCAGAAATTGCTCTGAATGCAACCCTAAGGGGTGGGGCTCAAGGTGGCAGCCCACCAGGACTTGGGATATAGTGAGATGAGTATAACTTTGCCTCCCTTTCTTCCCCCAACCAGGCTCGCCCTAAGGAGATGTGTGAGTAGGTGAGTGGGAAGGGTTGGCCCAGTCTGCTCTCTCCCGGTGCTTTTGGCTTCGGATAACAGGCTGTGCAGGGGGTGGTGGGGTGGGGCTGGAGAGGTGTCCAGGCAGGTGGGGTTGGGTGTGAAGGCCTCACCTGGCTTGGCTGCCATCTGGGGAGGGGCCTTCATCAGGGCTGGCCTGGCTCCAGGATCTGTACGGAAATAAGTCAAGTGGTCCCCTTCTTCCTAGCATATCTCCAGTCTCTCTGGGGTCAGGGGCCCTTTCGTCCGGAAGCCAAAGTCAGGACCAAGAGCAGGAAGCTTCCCTTACCCGCAAGAGGAGCTTTTATTAGAGGGTAGGAGAAACAGAAAGCGAAAGAGCCCAAGGGGCAAACGTTCAGATGGGGGTGTGTACAGGATGAGGGGATACGGGAGGAGGCCCGGGGGTCTGGGCACCTGTCGGGCGTGGAGGGGGCGTGCTCACCCTTGCACGTACTCTGCAGCTGCTCCGCCGTCTCCTGCATGCCTATGTCGCGCAGCACGGACGCCGTGAGCTCGGCGCCGTACGGCTCCAGATAGAAGCTGACGAGCTTGTCGGTGAGGTCCATGGCATCCATGGGCAGCAGCGTTCCCCGTGGGATGCGCCCGTAGCCGTCGCGCAGCGGCACTGAAAGCAGCTTCAGCTTGAACTTTTTGAGCTCGTCGGCAGTCAGGTTTTCCAGCGCCTCCAGGATGGCGTCACGCGTGCGCCCCATGGCTCCGGGGTCCGCTGCCGCCACTGCCGCTCACTCGGGGTGTCCGTCGACCAGGAAGTCCGCTCCGGGGCGGGACCTGGAACTCCCCGCCTTCTGCCGTCTCTGCTCCAGCCCATATTGCCCTCGAGCGTAGGGTACTCCCGCCTACCTTGTTGGTACCCACCCACCGAGGTCTGCGGACTCGGTCCCCTGACCATCGGAGGGCGCCAGGATCGCGTCCTCCGGCTGGTCCGCGCGCTGGGAGACCCAGCGGAGACGGGCTTATGGGTGGCGCCTGGGTGTCCAGGCTTGCGTTAGCTAGCACAGACCAGGAACTTGGTTTATTGGAGCTCCAAGGCTTAGAATCTTGGAATTCTAGAACCCTGAAATCTCCAGGTTTCCCTGAACCTTAGCATTCTCTCTCACATGTCTCAGAATCATAGAATCATAGAATTCTAACAACTGGAACCATGTAGCTTCCCAAATTCCGCATACTGGGGAGAAATGAGGTGTAAAAAAAGGGTAGAGAATAGCTGTGCTTTCTCTTTGAGCCTCAGTTTCCTTATCTGTAAAATGGGGAGAATAACACTCATCCACTTAGTAAATATTCCAGCATAACATGGGCTACCTGATGGCTCCTGAAACCTTGCCAAATGCTTCCTGGGAGAGCCAGGATTTGGTTCTAGGAGCTGAATTTCTTGGAAAGTGATGACAAGAGACACTCGTAATGGTTGAGAAAATTCTTGACTGGAGGGAGAGTCACGGGTGGAGAGCCACTTTGGGCCAAGGGGACTTGACCCAGAAAAGCAGGTGAAAGGTGGTGCAGGTCGGCATTGGAGCCCAAGCTGTGCCCAGAATCCTTAACTTGCCCTTAATATGGCTGGGAAGGCCCTGCTGGTCTGGCCCCTGTGGACCTCATCAGCCTTGTCTTGCACCACACCCTGCTCTCTCTTCATCTCAAAGTTCCAACCACAAGGACCTCTCAGTTCTTCAAATGTGTCAGGCTCCTTTGCTTCTCCAAGCCTTTGCACATGTTCTTCCCTCATCTTGGAAATCTCTTCCCTCACTCTGCCTGACAAACTCTTGCAAGTTTAGGTCTCAAGTTAAATGTCACTTCCTTCTGGAGACCAGGTTTAGAATCTCTCCCAGACTAGTTCATAACACCTGCTACTTATTTGTAGCTCTCATAGCAATTGTGACTCAATTGTAACTAACTCTGTGTATTTGTTTAGCTTTAGTCTTCCCCACCAGTCTGTAAATCATGTCTGTCTGACTCATTGTTCTATCCACAGCAGCCAGAGCAGTGCTTGACCTATAGTAGGTGCTCAGTAACCCTTTGTGGAATCAGTAATGAATGAACAGGCCTTGTCGCTCAATTGGGAGGATATCAGTACTGAAAGGGGTGCCTTACAGATAAGCTCTTCAAAGAGAGGCGGCTTCCAGGAGCTGAAGACCACGGACTTGAAGCCATACAGTCCCTGGTTTGAATGCTGGCTCTCCTTCCTAGGTGGGTATTGGGAATCCTTCATTTTTTCCTTTCAGCTGGGTGGTAACAATCACCATTCCTTCTAGTGATGTGATCCTGACATATACGCTTATTCGTTTATCGGGCGTCCATCTCCGCACCAGAATGTGAGCTTCATGAGGGCAGGGACCTTGTCTATCTTGTTCATTGCTGAATCCCATCAAGAGAGTGCCTGGTACATAGTAGGTGCTCAGTGAAGATTTGCTGAATGAAGGAATGAGTGAGGCTGTGTTACTTGCAGCATGTTGTATTCAAGAACTTCCAGCAGGGTAGCAGGGCCCTGCTCCCTATCCTCATGCTTGTTGCCCCACGTGGGCTGGGTAGTGCTGTGTGCCAACATCCTCACCATGGGTGGCACTTGTGGTCCAACAGCCAGTGTTTCCTGGCTCATGGCTATTTATTATTGTGCCTCTTCACTGGTCTTTGTCCTTTCAGAATCTCCAACTCATTTTGTGCGCTGTGGCCAGAAGTCAACATCTTCCTAGCCTACACATTGATCCTGTCCCTCCCCTGCTCAGAAGCCTCCCATGACTCCCCAGGGCCCTCAGAATCAAGTCCAAGCTCCTTGGCTTGGCCTTCAAGGCCCTTGCCAACCTCCTCAGCAATACCTTCTACCCTCTTGGCCTCTGGACCTCTGCACATGTGGCACCTGCTCTCTGCTTGGCCTCTTTTCCCTTCTGGTGTGTTTAGTGAGTTCCTGCCTGACCTCCAATATTCATTGGGTGTCACTTTTTCTAAGAAATAATGAATATTTGAGCCCCTTTTTAGGCTATGATCCTTCACATGCATTATTTCTAAGCCTTATAACAATCCACTTGGGATAGGGAATGGTAGCCTCGTTTTAAAAATGAGAAGACTGAGGCAGAGAGAGGTTGAAGACTTGCCCAAGGTCAGATAGCTGAGGAGATCGTATAACTTGTCTGTTTAGCTTCTGAGTATGTCCTCTGTCTACTCTTCTCTGTTGACTTTTCTGTCCTGTCTGTGCAAAATGAATTATTCCTTGTCCATGTCCACAGGATGTCCCTTTGATGCCTCTACCACAGTGTTTATCATACAATGTGTCTGTCTGCTCTGTTTTCCTCACCACACTGACAGCTCCTTGAGGACCTTCTCTGGTCCACAGTGCCCAGCACAGGGCTTGGTGCAGATCCAGCCTTGATAAGCCTTTCTGGAATGACAAAAGAATCCTAGAATCTAGAATCATAGAAACCTGCTCTTTTCACATTTGGCAGATCTTAGAAGCTTTGGGTGTTTGAGCCACGGAATTTAAAAAACAATTGCCTGATTCAACCCCCACACACAGCAGGGATCCCTTTGGCCACGTGGCCATTTGACGGCATCTCTTGAACCCTTGTTGGAATGGGGTGGCCTTTGCTCTAAGTAGAACCGATGTAACACATTTCAACTGAACCTTTGGGGCTGCAGGAAATTGCACCTGGGGAGGGTGTGTCATGACCAGGAGGAGAAGGTGGGCTTCTCCTCAAAACTGGCTTCCTGGGGTGAGGGAGCTGAGGACATGTGTCATGGTGTTGTTTGAACTTCCTTTGTTCCTGCATATCACCACCCTGGACCCTTCCTTTTGGGCCCAGCTTGCTCTTGGCATCTGACCCCAGTCGCATTCCTGCTCATACACATTCAGACTGAGGCACGGAAGATCTTGGCTGTGACTTTCACCTGACATGGCCTCAGATCACGCCTGTGGTGTGGTATCGCAGGGAGGCAAGGGATGTGGGGCTGGGGAAATACAGCCATCCTCCCATTGAACTGGAAGCCTCGCTCCTGCAGTGGTTTCAGGCTGGAGCTCAGTGAGAACGAGTGGCACCTTTTGGCACCTTGTAGATTCTGAATTCAGAAGAGAACAAAGTTTTTGGAGAGTTTATCTTATTCTAAAAAGATGTATTAAGGATCTATTAGATGCCCAACCCTGTGATAAATGCTGGTGCAAGACAGTCCTAGTAGTCACAACAGATCCCAGTGTTTGAATTTACTGTGTTCCAGACATGTGCTGAATACGTAACATGCATCTTCTCATTCAGTTCTCCCAACAACCCCATGAGGTATGTGTATTTATCCCACCTTACAGAGGAGAAAACTCAGGCTCTCAGAAGTTCCTCTGGGGGCCGGCCCGGTGGCTTAGCGGTTAAGTGCGTGCGCTCCGCTGCTGGTGGCCCGGGTTCGGATCCTGGGCGCGCACCGACGTACCGCTTCTCCAGCCATGCTGAGGCCGCGTCCCACATACAGCAACTAGAAGGATGTGCAACTATGACATACAACTATCTACTGGGGCTTTGGGGGAAAAAATAAATAAAATTATAAAAAAAAAAAAAGTTCCTCTGGAATCCTACACTGGTAGTAAATGAGGAAACACTGAACCCATATCCATGTGACCCCTAGGCCCAAATTCCAACCAATATCCTAAAAGTCCCACTCTCTGTCCTCAAAAATTGACAAATTGCTTAGAGAGATTATGTATATGGAAATTTATACCTCCTCCAGACCGTTCCTAAATACCTTTGGGAGGGCAGATGTTGCAATAATAGTAATGACACCATTAACTGCCTCCTTTTTGCAGAATGCTCTAGAACTTACAAAGCACATTCAGAGGATTGTGGAATAGTGGGAAAAATAGGAGATGAGGGGTGTCAGACCCACTCAGATTTGATTCCCAGACCCTCTACCTCTTAGCTGTGTGACTTAGGGAGGTCATAGCCCCTCTCTGGGGTCTGCATCCTTTCTCATTAATGCGCTCGCTTCACCAGCCTGTAGGGAATGAGTGCTCTGAGAAGGGCAGTGACTTGCCCAGAGTTCCCCAGTGAGGTAGAGGCAGAGCCTGCTCATTCCTGGAGACTGCCAGGGTGGTTTCCACCTGGGGAGGTGGGGAATGGGAGCCTTGGGCAGCTCTCTGGGAAGGCCTGGTAATCCCTTCTCCCTTGACCCCCCTTTTCTGGGAGAAGTGCTCAGAGCTCTGAGCTTTGACCCCTGGTATGGAAGAACCTCCAGGTCTTCGCTTTGATTGCTGGAGCCAGATTGCTCCTCCTGGGGCCAAAAGGACCATAGACTGCCAGGACATGAGTCAAGTCACTTAATCTCTTTGTGCCTCATGGCCTCCCTGTAAGATAGGAACAATGATGGGGTTGTTGTGAGGTTATAAATGAGGTTATGAAGCTATAAATGGATTAAGAATTGTGAAGTGCTGGGGCTGGCCCCGTGGCGTAGTGGTTAAGTGCGCGCGCTCTGCTGCTGGCGGCCTGGGTTCGGATCCCAGGAGCGCACTGACGCACCGCTTGTCAGGCCACGCTGTGGCGGCGTCCCACATAAAGTTGAGGAAGATGGGCACGGATGTTAGCCCAGGGCCAGTCTTCCTCAGCAAAAAGAAGAGGGCTGGCAGATGTTAGCTCAGGGCTGATCTTCCTCACCACCCCTCCCCCCCAAAAAAAGAATTGTGAAGTGCTTGGAACAGGCCTGGCACATACTAGGTGCTTTTGTCATGTTAAAGTCTCTGAGTCTCGCTTTCCCAGTCTGAAAGTGGCGATGATATTATTGACCTTATAGGGTTGT